GTTGTTAAACATGAGTGGTGCACTACTGCTACTAGTGGTGAGAAAGTGTATTGCACCTTATTCAAAATCARTGTGGTCCCATGGCCCAAGTTAAAAACTGTTGTTCTTTTGAGGCCCTCAAGGTGGCGCTCGCGGCCCACAATTGGGCCACGGCCCATAGGTTAAGAATCTCTGGTTTAGAGGATGGTTGTGTGACATCAGGGTATTTTGGTTGAGTTCCTGGGACATGTGAGAGCAGATGACCTGTTGCTGATAGSACTGCTCTTCCTACACATAATGAAAATATTTGCCTTGAATTTAGGGTTAAATAACAAATAATTGTATATARATCAGTGTTTCATTAAGGCAAAGAAATAACTATGTATCCAGTAACTTTAATAATAAAATGAATAATGAATAATGAAAAAAGAGAGTTTTGCATAATAGGTGCCCTTTAAAAATTAAAGTTTATTAATCTTTGAGAGGATGTACTTACATTATTACGCTTTTATCATTATATTAGTTTTAAAATGGTCACCAGACAATATTATCGTTTATCGCAATAATTTCTGAGACAATTAATCGCACAGCAAAATTTGTTATCGTGACAGGCCTAATGACAGGCACTCGAAACCTGTCTAAGGTTTACCCTGCCTCTTGAACAGAGGCTGCTAATGATGGGCAGCAGTGATCCCCCGTGGTATGAAGCGCCAAAGTGGACAAAAGCTGGATGAAAAAACGCGAGAGCAATCAAAGGAAACAGTGTGTGAGACCGACTGAGAAGGAGAATTTCTAAACAGATATTGTCCTGATCTTAAAACACTTTGCCTGAGAGAAAACAGAAGATAAAGACTAAAATCATAAATCATGACATTTTAAGGTAAGCAAAAGAGGTAGTTAGCTGTGTTTCCATTGACCATGAAAATGCGCAAATCAGAATTTCGAAAATAAATTTGCTCAATGGAAACACGTCAGTTTTGAAAAAAAAAAATTATGTTTTTCGACAAAATGTTTTTGCACTAGGATGAGGTGGTATTTCAGCCTTATCAAAATTGTTTTTTTTTCTTCGCAAAACTGCAATGGAAACACTTTTTGCGCATCACGGGAGTCACATGATCAACAACCGGCTGTTTTTACTGGCAAAAAAGACGACGACGAAGAAGATAACAGGAAGTAGAAGTCATAGTAATATCACAGAAGTAGTATAAAATGGTAAACTCACCGACTACAATTTCCCAAAAACACAGCATACGTAGCCGCTCCGAAGTAGGGACTTGTCGCTGGAAAGCCTCGATAAAAGACGCCGACGTCTCCTMAGATGATGAGCACTAGTGTTGTGGTAGCAACATGCTATGTGTTTACATCCATCGCCGCCATGTTTGTAATGACTTATCGCGAGAACAAACATATTCACGCTTGACTTTAATAGCATTTCTTACTTAATAGAAACACTGCAGTTGTGAAACTGTTTTTTGACATTAACAGAATATCGACAAAGTTTTGCGCACATTTGCAATGGAAACGCAGCTACTGGGTATTGGCCTGAGAAGAAATGTAGGACTTTAAAGGATAATTTATTTTTCCAAGACAATTCCTTCCTCTTGATCAAACATTGATCACTAAAATAAATTTGGAAAAATAATTGTGTCATTTCAAAAAATTTGAACCAATTATAGGTCTAAACAAGTCATAAGCTGAACTATTAAATAAGCTATTGACCAAGAAAATAATAG